CCAAGATATCATGCAATCTGATATAGGCTATACATATACATTCCTATTGAACATATTTTCACATTAATGATGCTGTAAGAAGAATTAGAACCAATAGGAGGAACCACAAGAAAGAGAAAACAAAACAAAATAAGAGAAAAAAAAGAGCAAATAGTATGCTTCGATCTGCTTTCAAACCCCATAGTTCTTTCTTTGGATGTGGATAGCATTTTTCATGACACCTTTGGAGATGTCTTAGATCCTTGCATTGCTGAGAAGGGTTAAGTCTATCAACGTTAGTCATCGCACAGTGTGGCTGTTACTGTGTACAATGTCCTCCTGGTTCTGCTCACTTCATTCAGCATCAGTCCATACAAGTCTTTCCAGTTTTTTTCTGAAGTCTGACTGCTCATTCTTATAGCACAATAGTGAGGATATAAGCTTCTTGAAGGCAGGAACTATCTCTACTTTTGTATTTGTATCTCCAGCACTTAGCACAGTGCTTGACACATAATTGCTTAATGAATGCTTTTTCATTTTTTCATCCATCCATCCATCCATCCATCCATCCATCCATCCATCCATCCATCATTTATTTATCCATCTATCCATATATTAAATAGGATAGTAGATTGCATAGCAATGCTGTCAACATAGAGACACCCTTATACATGAAACAGAAGTGGGAGGAAGCTCACTTGATACAATCAGATAAAAGTATAAGAGTGGACATGATATTCCAGTCCTACACAGGGAAACTGTAGGGGACCTGACAACTAGGACAGGTAACCGACATTGCTGGTACTTGACCAATACCCAACCAGCTGTGGAGAAGATCCAAGTTAAGCCATAAACTATTGCCATTACTATACCTGTAATTCTGCTTTTTCCTTGACTTTATTTGATGTTTTCATGACTGTAACCAATCCGTCTCTCCATTCCATCTAATATACTATCTGTTGATGAATTTTTTCACACAAATAATGTCCAGTTTCCTCCCTTCCTCCCAAAGCTCATGCCTCAGCCCCTATACTATTTCCTGGCTATCCTAAATACTCTCCCACCAGATTATAATCACTCTTTAACCTCTTCAGATGCTCCTGCCACACTTTCCCTCCATATGGTATACCTCTCTGCCACCAAACTGAAAGTGTCCCCAAAATATTAACATTTCATTTGCCTGGAGTCAGGCATCTGGACCAAATAACAGCTAATTTACTTGCCAGATCTATGATCTATAGAATCATAGAATTTTGGTTTCACAAGAGATCAAGTCCAAACCTCTCAATTTACAGATGAAGAAACTGAGGGTCATAGAATTTAAGTGACTGTCATAAGTTTGTGCACTAGCAAGTTATTGAGCTAAGTTTGGGAGTGAGGTCTGCTGACCCCCATTCCAGGGCTCTTTCCACTCTACCATGTTCCCAATTCTTTGATACTGTACTGGAGTCCCCACACTGCCAAATGACTTGGATATTGCCATAGAATCAAACCCAATTCTAAATCCCTTTTTGAGAAAACAGTATTTGCTCTTTGCAGTAAAGCCAAAGATGAAATGAAAGGTCAGTCCTTTGAAGCCCACCTGGGAGCTCTGTTCACTGTATTTGACTACCCAAGCTCACCATTACCAATGTTAATGATCTCCCTCATTATGTGACACATGCTTCCTTTGCCAGCTATTAGATGGGATGCCATTACGGTCTTAACTTAAGAGGGCCCAGCTATGGTGTAAGCATATTCCAGAGGGCACTCTGTTGGAAGGCACATAGGGAAATGTTCTCATTAAACTACCCACGGCTATACATGAAATTACCACACTTATAATAATGAGTTTTTTTCTTTTGTTACAACATTTTCTTCTGGGGAAATTCAATAGTGAAACATAGCAGTCCCAGAAAATGACACTTTTTGTTCTAAGATGAATAAAAGAATCAGCATGGCAAATTGGAAACAGTGTTGGAATTAGAATATAAAGGTCTTGGTTGAAATCACAATTCTCCTGCTTATTAGTTACCTGACCTTGGACAAGTTACTTCATCTCTTTGAACCTCTCCTTAATTGCAAAAGTTGGATTTGATAATCCCTGAGGTCTTTTAAACTCTAAATCCTATGAATTCCCTCTTTGCCAGTGAAGTAATCTCAGTAATCTCAGAGAATTGGAATCATTCCCCTGGTACAAAAGCCAGGATATCAGGGAGGGTTATGTTTTGTTTTGTTCTACTTCTGTTGGAGGTCTTTGAAGTACAGTCACATTAAATGATGAGAAAATGCTACCTATGAAGACTTAACTTTCCTTTACCTTTCAATAAGTGTTCATGTTTTTAGTAAAGTAAGAGCTAGCTAATAAATAGTAAATTCATGACTTGAAATAGAGTTTTCTGGTAATAAATGCTCTCTCCATCAGATATTTCCATGAGATAAAGTACTTAACATAGTACCTGGCACATAGTAGGTGCTTAATAATTTTTTTTCTTCTTTCCCCTCCTATTACACCATAGTGGTTTCATAATATCAGAGCAAGAAATTAGAATACAGCCTTGACATACCCAGTCCTGTGTTCTTTCTTCTTCATCATACTGCCCTCCACCAAGTGCTTTCCATTTACTCTTAAATCAATCATCTTCTCTGATCCTAACAATCCTGTGACATAGGCATCAAAAGTGGCATTATTCCCATTTCACAGATGAGGATACTAAGGTTCAGGTAAGTTAAATGACTTATTTAAAGTCATAGAGCCAGTAAGTGATAGTGCTGGGGTTAGAATACAAGGTGAATCCTCTTCCCATTTTATCTTGTTAGTTACGGACAGGAAAGTTCATTGTGGATAGGACATAGCACAGAAGTAAGATATGTTGCTGTTGGCAGATATGCATATAAAGATAGGAATATCCAATACAGACTGATGAACTTGCCAACTTAATATAGTCCTTTTATTCTTGTCCTTTAGTTCATTTGCCTTCAGTTAATCAATTAGCATTTATTGCCTGCTGTATGGCGGGGATGGTGCTAAGTGCTGGGAATACAAAGAGAGGCAAAAAACAGTCTCTGCCTTCAAGAAGCTCACAAGCTCTGGCAGAATTTTATTGGGCAAAGCCCTCCAAAATGGTTTAGGGGACACATTAATAATTAGGGAAGTAGCAGGAGATAAAAGGAATTTTTCAGCCTCTAAATCAGTTATTTAGTTATCTCAATTCCTTATGAGATCATTATAAGGAAAAAAACTGATTTAAAAAAACAATTCAATCTTATCCTAGGGGCTTTTGTTTGATTTTTCTGGTTGCTGGGCAATGTGTGGTGGTTCATAGCTATAAGCCGTGGACTAAAAGAGCTTCAGTACTCCTTTTTCTGGGAGATATTTACTAGGCACCACACCATCAGCAGATGATAGCAGAGAGAAACCCAAAGAACCTGGAGACACTGAATAGTTGAAATGTAGCAGCAGAGAATAGTTCCACAAGACCAGTGGATATTAGAGACTCAGTGCCCAGTTCAGACCATCTTGACATCATCAGAAGACATCAGCAGATTGTTGGCTTTGGAGATGTGAATTGCCATGTTTGTACCCTGACCACACGTTCCCCTAAATGTGTACCCTACATCATGACCACATATTCCTGTATTTGTACCCTCCATCTTCGGCATGCCTTGGCCACGTGTGCCCCATTTGTGTTTTCTCTTGCATGTACCCCAGTTCACTTCCACACGTTCTTTGACTGGTTAAGATCCTGGTATATTTCATACATGTTTTCTTTCCTCAGTGATGTGAAAAACCTATAAGAGACATGCCTCATGGGTACGTAGGGAACCTTTCCTTATCACTCAATTTGCAGTGGTATTTGATCAGTTATCTTACTTGGAACTAGTACTGTGCCATCTGGTTGACTGGTAGAAACAAATACAGAGGTGAAAACTCCTGAGTAATGTCTCAAAACGGGTAATTTTCTGGGGACCTACATGGAAGAAGAAACCTTGGCCATATATTGTACTGACATCGAATAAATATAGATCTATTGTTCAAACCAAGAATAACAATGTTGTTTATCAGTTGTTTCAGTTGTGTCTGACTCTTTGTGACCCCATTTGGAGTTTTCTTGGCAAATATACTGAGTGGTTTACCATTTCCTTCTGCAGTTCATTTTACAGATGAGGAAACTTAGGCAGGCAAAGTTAAATGACTAATCCAAGGTCACAAAGCTAATAAGTGTTTGAGGCCATATTTAAACTCAGGAAGTTAAGTCTTCCTGATTCCAAGTCCAGTGCTCTATCCATTGTGTCACCCAGCTGCCTAAGAATAATAATAGCTAACATTTATATAGTGCTTTAAGATTTACAAGCACTTTATATATATTTTTCTCATTTGATTCTCACACCAACCTGTGAAGTCAGCGCTATTGTTATCCCCATTTTTTAATAGATCAAGAAACTGAGGCTGTCAGGGGTTAGATGTCTTACCCAGGGTCACACAGCTAGTAAATGTCTGAGGGAGGATTTGAATTCAGGCCTTCCTGATTCTGTCATTCTATCTACTGAGCCATCTCACCATCTCCCAAATAAAACTTCATCTGTTTGCTTGTTTCTAGGCTTAGATAAGACACCTGGGAAAGCTTAACATTAACAAAATGCCATGCATCATAAACTACCCACCGATCCTCCTTCAATATTTTTCTTCATGATGTCTTTATCCATTTTTTCTACTCTTGACATTATTTTCCCCATCATCACAGGAATCATCTTGACATCAATCTTTTTTAAAGGACATGGTTTTGGCCAAGGATAAAGTCATCTATTTCCAAAGTACTTACCGTCCCGGGCAAATTGGATCAGTGACTTCATACTTTTGCAGACCAAAATGTACTGATAATTTAGACCTCCACAGATCCCTTTTGTACACCTGGCTGCAGAGACAGCTAACCATTCCTGGATCGCACAAGGACAGATCCGTCTACCATCTGTCTTTCCACTAATTATGAAAATTATTTAGCAACTCAGGGCTTTTTATGCATTGCCCAAAGCTGCCTTACCTTCTCTTTTCCTGATGGGCTTCAATGGATATTTGCCTGCAACAACTATACACTCTGTTCTTTGTAGAATGTTAACAATTTCAGGATGAGAAAATATACTTTTAACAAGGCCTTGTGAATGATTTGTCTGTTTCACATGACTTCACTCCAGGGGTATGCTGGTAAATGTTTAACAATCAACACTCTTAAAAAAATAATAATCATGGCACACATACCTTTAAATTTAACCTGTAACACTTTCTCCATCTCTTTCTTAAATCCAGACTATCAATGAAACAATATATCAAGCCCTAATCTGTAGTATTTGCTGATTTCCAAGGTATAAATGCTCACACTGAAAATTTGGCAATCAGACTTCTCCAGCTGTATTGAGCTGGCTCCAGCAAACCCCTGTATGGGGTAGGAAAGGGATGGGAAAAGGAGTTTGTGGTTTGAGGGCTAAAGTCTGGTGAAGGCTACTAACTGGGCAGAATTTACTACATGGGTTAAATCTCTGTCCTGGGGAAGGGTAAGGAAAGATAACCAGAGTTTCAGTGCAGACAAATTTTGCACTCTATGAGAAATCTTAAAATATGAGGAGTCAGGTAGATTGGTGTATTAGAACCCCCTGACTTCCATCAAGACTCAGCTTAAGTATCACCTTCTTTATGAAATCTTTCTTGGTCCTTAGTTTCTAGTGTCCTCTCTCCTCAAACTATAGATGCACACACACATACACACAGATATATATATATGTGTGTGTGTATATGTATGTGAATGTCTCCATGTTGTCTCTCCTCATAAAGTATAAGCTCTTTGATAGCAAAGACTTTTACATTTTTTATCTTACTTGGATAAGTGCCTGGCATATAGTCAGCACCAATGTTTTCTAGGATGCCTTTTGTCCATTTATTGAAAAGACACTTTGTATTTGACTTGCATTTAACCAATCTGTTGGATCAGTGGCATCACGCCGAGCATTTTAAAAGGCAGAAGATTCTGATCCACAACACTTTATAAAGACCTTGACCACTTAAGACAAAGAGCACCACAACAGAGCCTCAGCTCTGTTTAGAAAGTTTATAGAAATTATTTCTTCTCCCCCTAAAAGAGGAGGAAGGAGAAGGAAATGGCAAGCCCCTCCAGTTTACTGTGAAAACCCCAAATGCAATCAAGAATAGGACAGGACTGAAACAACTGAATGGAACAAAAGAACAGGAGCTCCACCTAAGGAAGCAGAAGACCAAATGAATTTTATTTTCTCTAGGTTTTTCTTTAGGAATTCCAATGGTGCTTCCTTATTGGGTCTCAATGCCAAGAACCGAAACTGATAACACAGGTCCAGAGTTGGTGGGGCACAAATACCTCTGTCTCACTGACACAGAAAAAGTGCTAGTGCAGTATTGTTACCATTGGCATGTATGTGTGTCGGTGGGGATTGATGGCGAGATATAACTTCTGGATACAGAAAAGCACCTTAACTTGTGGACCTCGTTAATCTTATCTGCAAATTTGTTGGTCCTAGGTAGAACAGAACTTATTTGCTCCACTGTCTCAAGAAATATGAGATAGCTAGGTGATGCGGTAGATAGAGCCCTGGGCTGGGAATCAGGAAAACTCATCTTCCTAAGTTCAAATACAGCCTCAAATACTTACTAGTGACACTGGGCAAGTCATTTAAACCTTTTTGCCTCAGTTTCTCATCTGTAAAATGAGAAGGAATGGTAACCCACTCTAGTATTTTTGCCAAGAAAATCCCAAAAGGGGTCATAAAGAATCAGACATGACTGAACAACAACAACCCAAGAAATAACTGGGGCCAGGGTAGAGAGAATTGTAAGAGGTTACCATGGATTTCCTACCTTAGCCCATTAAGGTCTAGTCTCTTAAGTCAGTGGCTCAGATCACAAGGGCTGGCCTGCTGACACCAGAAGATGGCAGAGATTTTCTTTTTTATTTTCATTTTTTTTTTCTTTTTAGGCAATTGGGGTTAAGTGAAGAGATTTTCTTACAGTAGGAGCTCAGCAGACTGATCCATTAATTGGAAGGTCCCAAAGAAATAAAACAATGTCAGAGACGGAAGTCAAATCAAAACAAGAGATTCTGCCAGCTGATCCCCTACTGCCTATAAACATTCTCATGTCTCCCTTATCCATAAGAAATGCTCACTTGGCCAAGCGTGGTAGCATACACCTTGTAATACCTGCTACTGCAGAGGCTGTGGCTGATGGAACCCTTTGATCAAAGGAGGTCTAAGCTGAAGTCAGCTAAACCTATTGGGTTTACCAGACTAAATCTGGTACCAGTATAGTAAGTCACTAGGAGAAGAGGTTCATAACGTTGCCTAAGGGGAGGTGAATTAGCCCAGGTCAGAAACGGAGCAGGCCAAAGGTCTTTTGTTGATCAATAATGGATCAGGCCCATGAGTAACCACTGCACTTGCATCTTGATCAAGTTTGTGAGACTCAGGCCCCAAAAATAAAACAAAGCAAAAATAGACACAAAAAACACTCACTTCATCTAACCATTCTTGCTAGCTATCATCTTATATCTGTGTCTGAACTCATTAAGAAAGCCCTCTACATAGGCATCTCTGCTTTCTCTCCTTTCACTCTGTTCTAAACAATCTTCACTCTGGTTTCCAATTTCATCATTCAGCTGAAATCATCCCCTCCAAAGATTTCAATGACCATCTCATTTTCATTTCAAATCTAATAACCTCTTCTAAAATCTCATTCTTCTTGACCTCTCTGCAACATTTGATGCTGCCAGAACAATCTCTTCTCTCCAGGTTTTTGCAATACTACTCTCTCCTGGTAGTGAGGCAGTAAGGTGGTACAGTGGGTTGAATATTGGGCCTGGAGTTAGGAATTTCTGAGTTCAAATCTGGCTCAGACATTTACTAACTATACAATCCTGCACATGTCACTTTACTGCTAACTCAGTTTCCTCATCTGTAAAATGGAGATCATAATGACATCTACTTCCCAGGGTTCTTAAAGCATGAGTATCAAGAGAGGCTAAGCCAAGATGGTAGAGTGAAGGTGGGGACTCACCTAAGTTCTCTCCCAAACCCCTCAAATACCTTTAAAAATGACTCGAAACAAATTCTAGAGCAGCAGAATACACACAAAAAAAAAAAACCAAACTGAAACAAATTTCCAGCCCAAGACAACTTGGAAGGTCTGCATGAAAGGTCTGTTGCACCAGGGTGAGACAGGAGAATAGGCCACACCTGCACAGACCAGACCCCAGCAAACCTGGAACAGGCCTCAGAGTAACTGAATCACTGGAAGCAATGGTGTTTCCAGACTTCTGAGCCCACAGCTGCCAAAAACAATTTAGAAGGTTGGCAGGAAAGGTCTGTCATACCTGGGTGAGAGTGAAATGCAGTTTTGTGCAGGCCACAGTAGCACAGCCCCGGCCACAGCAAACCAGGAGCAGACCTTGAGAGTGACTGAATCAGCCATAGCAGTGGCTGCTTTTGGAGCTCTCAGCCCACAGGCAGTAAGACACCTAGTCAGAAGGAGATTACAGGGTTCTTCTTGCTATCACTGAAGCAGGACACTGTTGCTTTGCCCATTCTTAGATCCAGGTCTTAGTCTGGGGGACAGTCCTGGGGCAAGAAGGAGCACTAGCATAGCAGAGCTTGTGGCCAAAGTGGAGGCAGGATCCTCCTCACAGTTCCAGGGCAGAAAAGAGTGCTTCTGGTGTCTCAGAGACCAGAGACAAGAGACCAGACAGGCCAGGAAAGGAGTAAACTCCTCTCCTTAGATCATAATACATTGGAAGAACTGAAAACTTACAGGTCCCTAGAAGTATCTCTGAAAACAGCTGCACAAAATCCCTGAAGCTTGGGTCAGTGAGACCTCCACCCTGGAAGGACAACCCTACTTTAACAAAGAGGTAAAAAGTCAAGTAATAGGCTGGAGAAATCAGTAAACAATGGAAAAAAATCTCTGACTACAGGAAGATCAAAACACATACTCAGAAGCAGACAACAAGTCAAAGCTCCTATATCCAAAGTCTCCAAGAAAAATATGAATTGGTCTCAGGCCATGGAAGAGCTCAAAAAGGATCTTGGAAATCAAGTAAGAGAGGCAGAGGAAAAACTGGGAAGAGAAATGAGAGTGATACAAGAAAAACATGAAAAAAGAATCAATAGCTTGGTAAAGCAGACACAAAAAATGCTGAAGAAAATAACGCCTTCAGAAACAGACTAGGCCAAATGACAAAAGAGGTCCAAAAAACCAATGAAGAGAAGAATGCCTTAAAAAGCAGAATTGGCCAAATGGAAAAGGAGGTCCAAAAGCTCACTGAAGAAAATAGTTCCTTAAAAATTGGATTGGAGTGGGGCAGCTAGGTGGTGCAGTGGATAGAGTACCAGCCCTGAAGTCAGGAGGACCTGAGTTCAAATCCAGCCTCAGACCAAATACTTGACACTTACTAGCTGAGTGATCCTAGGCAAGTCACTTAACCCCAATTGCCTAAAAAAAAAAATAGAATGGAGCAAATGGAAGCTAATGACTTTACGAAAAATCAAGAAATGATAAAACAAAAGCAAAAGAATGAAAAAATAGAAGACAATATGAAATATCTCATTGGAAAAACAACTGACCTAGAAAATAGAGCCAGGAAAGATAATTTAAAAATTATTGGACATCTGAAAGCTATGATTTAAAACAAAGAGCCTAGACATCTTCTTTCAAGAAATTAGCAAGGAAAACTGTCTCAATATTCTAGAATCAGATGGCAAAGTAGAAATTAAAAGAATCCACTGATCACCTCCTGAAAGAGATCCCAAAATGAAAACTGCCAGGAATATAATAGCCACATTCCAGAGCTCCCAGGTTAAGGACAATATATTGTAAGCAGCCAGAAAGAAACAATTCAAGTATTGTGGAACCATAATAAGGATAGCATAACATTTAGCAGCTTCTGCATTAAAGGATCAGAGTGATTGGAATATGATATTCTGGAGGGCAAAGGAGCTAGGATTGCAACCAAGAATCACCTACTCAGCAAAACTAAGTATAATCCTTCAGGGGGGAAAAAAGGATATTCAATG